ATTATTATCCCCTTCTTATACTCTCTGGTCCAGCTCTTCCCATCTCCCACTTCTGGCAGTAGACATAAAATGAGTTCAAATCTGGCCTCTAGCTTTGTGACCCCTAGGCAAATCACTTAACCATGATTGCCTCAGTTCCACATCTGTAAAATGAGTTGGAGAGGGAAATGGCAAAACACTCCAGGATCTTTGCCCCCAGTGTGGTTAAGAAGAGTCAGAAATGACTGAAAAATGACTTGAAGAACAATTAAAAACATTACATACCTATTTTGTTCCAGGCACTGTAATAAATGCTGGAGATAAAAAGAAAGGTAAAAGACAGTCTCTGTTCTCAAGTTGCTCACAGTCTAGAGACATCATGCAAACAGCTGTATTAAACAAGCAGTACACAAGATAAATTGGAAACAGGCAACAGATAGAAGGCACTAGAATTAAGGGGAATCAAGAAAGGCTTTCATTTCAGTAAAAAGTGATATTTTAGCTTGGATTTGAAGGAAGCTAGGGAAACCTAAAAGGTAGCTAAGGAGGAAGAGTATTCCAGGCATTGGGTCAGTTAGTGAAAACATCAGGAGCAGGGAAATGTAGTTCTCAAGAAACAGCAAGGAGGCCAGTGTCACTGGATTGAAGAATATATGGATGTGTGTAAGATAATAAGCATCCTGGAAAGGTAGGGTGACTAATGAAGGGCTTTGAAAATTATTACATTTAATCCTGGAGGTAATGGGGAGCCACTGGAGTTTTACTGAGTTCAGGGGGTAGAGGGAACAGATCTGTGTGACAATTGCCACATTTTTCTGAGTAAAGTAGGAGATGGAGTCAATTTGCTTGCCTAGAGAGAGGAGTGAGTAGTGTTGACATTTCCTCTCAGGAGAAAAATGTTTTGAAACGGCACTCCTGGAGAGTGTGATATTCAACTAATGCTTAACAAATTGGAGGGGAGAGGGGTTTGGCCTTTGAGGTTAAATAACAAATTTTTACCTCCATGTGATTTGAGGGACATATGGGAGGCATTCGAAGGGATATTTTGTTACCCTGTACTTTCACCATGTACCCTTGAAATTACCCACTTGAATAATGTCCTGCTTGGAATACTGTGAAAGGCAAAAGTTCCTATTTTACAGTTAGAGATGTTTTAAATTGTGTATGTCCCTGGGAAAGATGATACATAGAATTGAATTCACAAGAATTTCAATATGTATAATATAGTATAATTGAAAAAACACTGGATTTTGAGTTAGACCTGAAACCCGGGTTCAGATTCGGAATTAACCACTTAGAACCTGTATGTCCATTGTTGGTCAGTTATTCATTCGTGTCCAGTTCTTCATGGTCCCATGAATCATAGCATGCCAGTGCTATCCATGGTGTTTTCATGTGACAGATACTGAAATGGTTTGTCATTTCCCTCTCTGGCTTATTTTATAGATTCGGAAAATGAGGCAAACAGGGTTATTTGACTTGTCCAGGGTCACACAGCTAGTAAGTGTCTGAGGTTGGATTTGAACTCCCATCTTCCTTACTCCAGGCCCAGCACTCTATCCACTGAGCCACCTACCTGCCTCCTGTATGACATGGACCAAATTGGTTACCATTTCATTTTCCTCATCTGGAAAATGAAGGGGTTGGATTCTTTCCCTCCTTTTCATAGTCTCTGGAGCCGGAGGACTTGGATTCAAACCCCACTACCAGTATGACCTGGAGTAAGTCACTTAACCTTCCTGAGCCTCAATTTCTTCATCTGTTAAATGAAGGGATTAGACTAAATGACTTTTCATTTTTTTAACGTTCAAAGTTTTCAGTTCCAAATTCTATCCCTTTCTCCCTCCTCCACTCCCCCTAATATTGAACCAGCCCTGCATTCCTGGTATAAATCCCACCTTGTTATAGTGTATGATTCTTGTGATATATTGCTGTAATCTTTGCTAGTATTTTGTTTAAAACATTTGCATCATTATTCATTAGGGAAATTGGTCTATAATGTTCTTTCTCTGTTTTGGCTCTTCTTGGTTTAGGTTATCAGCACCATTGGACTCCACCTATTTTTCCAAATAGTTTATATAGTATTGGGATTAATTGTTCTTTAAATGTTTGGTAGAATTCGCTTGTGAATCTATCTGGTCTTGGGTTTGTTTTAGTTTTTTGTTTTGTTTTTTTCTCAAGTTCATTGGTTTGTTCAATTTCTTTTTTTGAAGACTGGGTTATTTGAATAGTTTATTTTTCTGTTAATCTGGGTAATGTATGTTTTTGTAGATAGTCATCTATTTCATTTAGATTGTCAGATTTATTGGCATATAATTGGGCAAAATGGTTCCTAACAATTGTCTTAATTTCCTTAAATGACTTTTTAGATCCCTTCCAACTCAAGCTTTATGATCCTATGTAGCTAAACTGAACCAGTTATTATTTCTTGTATTGGTACCTATCTGCATTCACTTTAATGGAATGTGTAGAGGAATTTGGAACTTGGTAATTAGTTAGAAACCCACTAGATTTTTTTTTTTAAGTAAGGGAATGAAAGAAAGAAAGATACCTGAGGTTATTGTGGCAGATATGAAGGATTGATTGAATGGTTATGAAGGCTTTTACTAGAGTGATAGCAGTAGTAGAGAGGAGGTAATACCTGCAGGTAAACTGTCATAGGTGGAATCAGTAGGACTTGGTTGACTAATTGAATATCGGATAAGGATAATACCAAACTTTCATAGTGACAAAATCACAAAATTTCAGTGTTTGAAGAAACCTCAAATCATCTTCTTATCTGACCCTGAATTGAAATCCTTTCCAAAATATCTCTAAGTGATTATTCTACCACTGCCAGAAAACGTCTTAGTCTTTTCCTGAGAGGAAGTGTTGATAAAAATAAATAGTTGAAATTGAGAGTGTAGGGGTGTGGTAGATAGAATAAAAACCATAAACTCATCTAACATTGATGTAGGGTAGAGAAAGATTTCCAAGACTGATAAAAATATGAGACTTTAAAGTATGATAATACTGTAAACAGCCTGTACCATAGAGGCCAATGGGTGGCCTCATTTGGCTCAGTTGCCAAATTTAGAGCTGATTCCAGCAACATGGAGAATTGACCAGCCTTGGCACAGCTGACTCTGACTGGACACACTGGTATTCCAGGACAGGCAGCTCATAAAAATAAATTTTTGTTATACCTCAGATAATTGAGGCTATTTAGTAAGTGAGATGTTAATGTTGAACTCATACTAGCCATAAATGATTAGAGATAACATCCTTTGACATTGTGGGTAGCAAAAAGATAAAGCACAAAAGAAACTGTTGTGTTGTTCACTGGTTTCAGTCATGTCTGACTCTTTGTGACCCATCTGAGGGTTCTGTCTTAGCAAAGATAGTGCAGTGGTTTCTCATTTCCTTCTCTAGTTCATTTTACACATGAGGAAACTGAGGTTGAGTAACTTGCCCAGGGTCAACAGCTAGTAAGTGTCTTCAGGCTAGATTTGAACTCAGGAACACGAGCCTGGCACTCCCATCCACTTGGTCCTTAGCTTCCCCAAATGGAGACTCTAGCTTTTTAAATTTTATTTATTTATTTTTTTTGGGCGAGGCAGTCAGGGTTAACTGACTTGCCCAGGGTCACACAGCTAGTATCAAGTGTCTGAGGCTGGATCTGAATTCAGGTCCTTTTGACTCCAGGGCCAGTGCTCTATCCACTGTGCCATCTAGCTGCCCCTCTAGCTTTTTAATTTAAAATACATTTGGAAACACCCTCTTCCTATTTTAATTATACTGGTTGTTTCTGTGCCTATATTATTTAATTCATTTTTTGGAAATACCCTCCTGCTATTTTAATTTTACTGGTTGTTTCTGTGCCTATATCATTTAATCCATTTAATGAGCATTTTTAAATGCAGATCATATGTGCAGTGATGTGTAATAAATGCTATGAGGTGTTGAAAGCAAATAGAAGACATTGTCCCTTTTCCAAGAACAGTATGGTCTAGTTAAAAGACTAAGAAAACAAACTTAGTGTGTGTCATGCTTGAGTATTAACTAATTCAAACTAATGGAGTAAATAAGTTTTAAATTGAGGTATGCTTTTTGGAGAGTCTTGAATTGATTCTTGAAGGAGAGAATGGGTAACAATTGGAGGGAAAAAGGACAGTCTAGGAGGGAACAAACATGAGACATATGGGAATTACCCTTCTTTATGAATGGCCACAAAAAGAAAACAAATAGAATTTCGTAATTATAAATATGGAAGAGAGGGAATGAGGAGAGAGACTTGTGTGCTAATTAAGATTCAATCTAATATAGGAAAACTATAGTCTGGAGAATGAGATGATGCAAGTGGTATATCAGAAAAATTATCTTGGGAGCTCTTTGTGCAGGAATGACTGAAAAAAGAAGAGACTGGAATATGTCTCATATGTTTTGTTATTCTAATGGTTTAAAAATGAAGTTTATTTTTGGCTATTTTATTTCTTCTCCCCTTTGTAGATGCTACCCTTAGAAATTATTTAAAAAAGTAAAATCCGTATGTGGAATATAAATAATTATCAAAATCCATGTTCATCCAATGCTATAGATATTCTTAACTATTTTATTCTTTAGGTGACAATTGGGCTTTTCCTCCCTCCCAAAGTTGCTAACTTTTGGTGTTAAGTGAATGTTATTACATATATGATTAATGGATTTTTTTCCCCATTGTGCAAAATATTAGTTATTAGATTTGAGTTTTATCACAAGGTTTAGTCATCCTGAGCATTGCTAAATTGAAAACCCTAGTTATTACGAAGCTGATTTTGTTCTTTGTTTTTGATATTTTTCTCAGTAATATAGTATTGTAACGGTTTTGCAATTTGTTGTGTATTTTTTAAAGTACATTGATTTGAAATCTGTTGTAAAACTGAGGTTTAAATTAGACTGAAAATATATCAAATATTCCAATTTTTAAATGAGTTATTTTCATTTTAAGTACAGTTTTTACTCTTCACTAATTAATTAAACCTGTTCATTTTTTCTTTTTCTAGGATTAACTCTTTTTTGAGATTTAATGCTTTGTTGAAAGAAACAGTCAAGTCTTTTTACATTGGCTCTTTGGACATATTCTGCTAATGTTTTTCAAATTTCTAATTTAATTTGAATATCATCATGGGAGGAGCTGTGAGTGCTGGGGAAGACAATGATGATTTAATTGACAACTTAAAAGAAGCTCACTACATTCGTACTGAAAGAGTGGAGCAAGCATTCAGAGCTATTGATCGAGGAGATTACTATTTGGAAGGCTACAGGGACAGTGCTTACAAAGACTTAGCTTGGAAGCATGGAAACATTCACTTATCAGCACCTTGTATTTATTCTGAAGTAATGGAAGCATTGAAACTTCAACCAGGATTGTCTTTTCTTAACCTGGGAAGTGGAACCGGATATTTGAGTACAATGGTGGGCTTAATTTTAGGTAATTTCATTTTTGAGAATTTTTAAATATAAGCAGTCCCCCAGCTTGGATTTTATTAAAAGCATGTATATTGTTAATACTGTTGTGTATTATATGTAATATTGTATGTATATTATATAGTCATTCAATGCTATGCATATAAGATAACTTTGAAATATAAAATAACCTTCCTTTTCTCTCTCGCTTCTAGTTAAGAGGCAGATGCCACTTGCTAGACACTAACTGTACTTGTAAACCTTTTGTCTCCAATCTGAAATTTTTGTAAAAAGCTAAGGAGTATAACTGGAATCCAGGCAAATAGGATTACACTATAGTCCTCTTTTGGGGGGGGGAAATCCTTGCTGCTTATTTGAGGAGTAAAATGGAGAAACAATGTCTTGACCTTTTCTCACTATCATGACAATATTCTCTTTGTTATTGGAGAGAAACAGGTAAAGTAGAGGTAGAGAAGGTGGAAATTAGGATTTTAGAGAGACAGAAGGAAATTAGGGTTATGGGATGCAATTAGGGTTATAGGAAATCAAAATGTGTGGTTTATGGGTATAAAAATGTGAGAAATAGGTTCCTGCTGTAATACAAGGTAAGGCTTTATAAGAAATGATTGCACTAACCACAAAGAGTAATGTATTTGTTGTAGAAGATCAACTAATTAGGCATTTTTGCTTTTGGTGACTTCTAGTTTTGAAAGAAACATATATGAAGTTACCTACTATCAAATCAGATAGTGTTTGTAGAGCACTTTACAGCCCTTAAATTGCTATATAAATGTTAGCAATATTTTTGATAAGCCACCTAGATAAGTGTATATATGTATGTGTATATGTATTTTAGTAACATTTGAATCTAGCTCTGAATTGTAACTTTTTTCATTTCTTGTTATTGTCACTCTTATCCTTTGTGTTGCTGATTTAAGGCAATTGGATAAAAAAAGGTAAGCTTGGTGAAGGTCAGTGTAAGGATAGATGTGATGCTAGTATCTTGTGGGAATCATTTATAAATAGCAACTGAGACATTTGAATCTTGGGACAAGTGGATGTTTGTTACCCTTTGGTTTGGAAGAGGTTTTTCTATGTCCATATAGCTTTCCTTTATATCACAGAGATTCTTAACTTTTTCTCCTGTAAGTCCCATGATTTTGTGATTTACAAAAAGCTTCCTTTCATTTGCATAGCATCTTAAGAGGACACATTAAATACATATCAGGGTTTTGCTGGGAAAAAAGTTTTAATAATAATGAGGATAGTATCTAGCATTTCATAGTCCTTTAAAGTTTGCAAAGTACTTTACTTGTCTCAGTTGATCTTCACCTAGTAAAGTAGGGAGATAGGTGCTACTTATTGTCCAAATTTGCCCATAGTCCATACAGGTAATGTCTGAGGCTAGATTTGAACCAAGGTCTTCCTTACTCCAGGTGCTGTACTCTATCTACTGGAAAGAACTTCCTGTGAATAGAGGTCATCTAGTCCAGTGGTTCAAACTCAAATAGAATCAAAAATTCACTAAAATGTACGTCAGAATCCCTGTGGGACCATATTAACTTAGAAAACCCACATATTAACAGTATCTGTTTTATATTTAAATTTATTTTGTTAAATTTCCCAATTACATTTTATTTTAGTTAGGGGCACACTTCAGAGCATTGCCAGTAGGCCATTTTGTTTGTTACTTGTTCTAGTGTAAACTTTTTTTAATAGATGAGAGAACTGAGTTCCACAGAGGTTTAATGACTTTTCCCCAAGGTTATACAGATAAGTAATTATTAGATAAGGATTCAAACCTAGGTCCTCTGACTCTAAATCAGCCTAATTTAATGGAGTCATTTTGACTTAAGGATGATGTAAGCTATTTTCTTGGTCATACAGTCTCAGTTAACTAGCCAGATGACATCAGCAGCACTATTTTCGGTATCACACTACCTTATGGCATCTACTGTGGATCTAGTTCTCACAAAGCTAATCAGAAACACTTTAAACCAAATCTTGTGATCTTCAAATGCAACAACTCCTGTCAGCCTTTGTGCTGAGATGTAGTAGCAAACCATCAGAACACATCCACGCAAATGGTCACTAAATCAAAAGACAGTAGATGTTAACCCTCTGGAAATGGGGGCTTTTAGTTATGTACTTTTGTTCATAAGATATAAGACTACCTTATTTCTGCCTAAGAAATACCCCAACCAGGATTGATTTAACCTCTACAGGTCTTTGACTCAATGATAACTTTTTCTGTTCTAACATACAAAATTCAGTGAAAAATCTGTAACATTGTGAAAAAAGAGTCAACTATATACATGACATGGTGTCCAAATAAGGTAATGTATGATGCCTTACTAGGAAAGTGAGGGAAGTGATATGTCTCTGTATTCTACCTTGGTCAGTCAGTCCAAAATAAATGCCATGTTTTGGTTAGGACAGTGATAGATTAGAGGGGAAAGTAGACTGGTAAGAGACTTGGAGACATTAGGATTCCTTGAAGGAATTGGAGGTGTTTAGCAGGAAGGATGGGAGACATAATAGGCATGTGATGGCTGTCTTCAGGTACTTGAAAGGTTGTCATGTGGAAGTGGGACTAGACTAGACTAGACTTGATAACATTTCTGTTTTCACAACATCTCTTGCCTCCCTTTGCTTCACTAACATTACAATTATTCTGGTTCAGGCCATTATTATTTCTTATTCCTGAGTTCCCTACTGCTTCTGAAATTCTGTCATTGTCTTCCCAAGAAAACCAGTTCCTACTTCAGCAAAAGAAGTGTTTTTTTTTGTTTGCTTGTTTGTTTTTGTTTCTTAAACAGGACCTTATAAAAACCCAAATAATCCATAAGATCTGAGAGGCAGCATGTTGTAGTTCAAAAACATTAGACTTGGAGTCAGAAGACCTTCTTATCTTTGTGTCACTGGACAGGTCACTTCACTTCTCTTTGCTTCCTCATCTGCATCCAGATGGCACAGGGGAGCTGGGCCTGGAGGTAGGAAGACCTAAGTTCAAATGTGGCCTCAGACATTTATTGCTTGTGTGTGAACTTGGGCTGACTTTTGCCCCAGTTTCCTTAACTGTAAAATGGAGATAATAATAGTACCGACCTTCTTTGGCGATTATATGGATAAAATGAAATATTTGTAAAGTACTTAAACCTTAAAGTGCTTTGTAAATGCTAGCTATTGTTATTACAGAAGAATCATAAAGGCTCTGGATAATTGTCCCATGCTAGCTAAAGTGAGAAAAGAATTACACATCCAAGTTTTACCCACTAACCCTGAGTATCCCATAGGGCTTGGGCCTTTTTTCCTTCCCTAATATCCAATTTGCTTACTCATCAGCTCCCAAGGGCTCAGTTACTATCTCCATGCAGAGGATTCCCAGATTGATAATACATAAACCTGTCCTCTCTCCTGAGTTATAGTCCAGCATCACTAACTGCCTTTTGGACATCTGGAATTAGATGCCTATAAGGCATCACAAACTCAACTTTTCTCTAACAGAACTCATTATCGTCTCTTAACTTCTTCCCTACTACTGTGGAGGGCACTGCCATCCTCCTAGCCCACAATCTGACTCATTCATCTCAGTCCTATCACACGTAGTCCATTTATCAATCTATTGTCATCTTGGAGTGTGTTTTCACAAATATCTCCTTTATAAACTCTTCTCTACAACTATTCTTATGTCATATTTGGACTGTTATAATACATAATTTGGGCAACATATTTTTTGTCTTCTGGTTGATCTCCTGGTCAACTATGCTGCCCAAGTGATTTTTCTAAAAAGCATGGGTCTGACAATGTCACCCCAGTACTCATTAAACTCTTTATTACATCTCAGATCAAAGATAAACTCTGGCACTTAACATCTTTCACAACTTGGCCCCTTCCTTCCTTTCTGTGGTATTCTTTTACTTCATTGTCTTCCACACACACCCAAGCTACTTGCTGTTTATTACACATGACACTTAAGGGTCTCTACTATGTGCCCTTTTACTGGCTGTTCCTCCTGTCTGAAAACAAATGCTTTCTCTCTGTCAAGGTTTCTCTGGTTTCCTTCATGACTCAATTCAGTTCCACCTTCTGTTGGTGGTCTTTGCTATGTCTGTCCCTTTCTTTCCCCCACACCCTCCCTATTGATAGTACCTTCCTTCTGAGATTACCTTCCATTTGCAGTCACACACGAACACTCTTCTGACATACACACATTCCATATATAGCTTTAAAATTTCATTGCATGTTGTCTTCTCCTACTAGAATGTTAGCTTCTGGAGGTCAGGGACTAGACTAGGTAGGCTTTTGCTTTCCTTTGTATCCCCAGAATTTGGCAGAGTGCTAAGCACATTAAATAACCTCTGAGGATGTCAGTTTTCTCAATTGTAAAATGAGTGGGATTGGTCCAAATAATCTATAATTGATGAAGATGATACTTATTTTATAATATTTTAAATTATAAATATATATGTATGTGTATATACATATATACACACGTACACACATATATGTATATATATACACACATATATATATAAATAATTGTAATGTGGCCTATCTAGTGGTGGCGCACCTGTTTTGGGACGTGTAATCTAAATATCCTCAATATGCCCATGATGAAAGCAGTGTTTAATTGGTGACTTAAATTTTTGAATGGAGGTCTTCATTTCCAGGGGTAAAGTGAAGGAGTTGAATTAGTTGGCCTCTTAACTTTTTCAGCTCTCTAAATCTAGAATCTTATGATATACCTTAACTGTTTTGCATGTGAATTCCGTTTTAGGAGAAACCTTAGTATGCTGGCAATATTTTAATATTTATATATAAATAATATACTAATGCACAGTTGTTAATTGTATTTTAATTTAATTGCAAAAAATATAAAAATGTTCTTATTTAGTTTAATTTAGATTCTCAATATAGTAGGTTAATCATTATAAAATTAACAATTATAATTCTGTGGAATTTTAATAATTTATTAATTGGCTTCATTTAATGAAACATTCATTAATATTAACCGTGTGTGTGTGTGTGTGTAAAACATAAAGAACCATGTTAAACTTTTTTTTATGAGGAAAATTTCTTAATTCTAATAGTTTTAAATATTGGACTTTTGGCTGAATTTTGCCTTGAGTATTCTGAATCAGTGCAGGATCTAAATAAATAAAGATTTAGTTTACATAATACCTTGTCAAAGCCCTCAGAAAATGGAGCTAAATTTTGTGTCATCTTATAGCACTAAGATCCAGTGCTAAACTTAAGTAGAAATTGTTCTACTTGTATGCTGCATGTCCTGTTGTTTCTTATGATAACAAACTTTTCTATTTTAACTGTAACTTAGCTGTGGTAAAAAGGATATTAGTGACATTACATCACACTGGGCAGATAGTTTTAATGTAATATTAGTTATCAGATAAAGAAGCAACAAATTAGGCAGCAGAAAATACCAAAAGAATTAAATGAAACCACTTGGAAATTATATCAGAATCAGAAATGGAACAATTGGTAGAGAAAAATTGACATAGTAAAAGTGACTTGTTCTCTGTGGGTAGATTTAAGTTTTGGAATTTAGTCTAACAAAAGCACTAATAGATTGTATAAATAGAATTAGAGACAAAGGTGCTTCTATGAGGTTTTAGTGATCATAAGGAAATATAGTAAAAGTATATACGTTAAAGAATTAAAATATTTTATCTTTGAGTTAGGCTTGGACATAATTCCTGTTCATTTGCACTTGGATACTTTGTAGTCTTCTTGACACTGTTGAAGTCATGGACCCTGTGAAATTTCAAATTTCTCTGTTGGTGAAGCCTCATAAGCAAGGTAGCTTGCATTTAGAACCCTCTGGAGACATGCTTATCAAGTTGATTTAAAGTTTGTCACTATTTTTTCCCTATTTTTCATTCTATGCACTGATAATGTTTTCAGTTTTTCATTTGCAGGCAGCTTAATGGCTCAGTGGTTAGCATTCTGGACCTGGAGTCAGGAAGACCTGAGTTCAGATGCAACCTCAGATATTTAATATATGTGGATAACATTGGTGTACTATGATTCACAGGGTTGCAAAGACTGAGACACGACTGAACAACAGAAACTCAGATAATAATCTTATTTCCGGTGTTGTTCTAAAAGACATATTGTTCTGTCAGTCTATCAAGTTATCAGGTTTACTAATAATTTATATGAGGTTTTGTTTTTTTGTGTGTGTGTGCCATCAGATGTTATTTTTAATCCTCTTGATCATATTCTCATGGCTTGTGTTGTATTAAGTCATTCAGTCATGTCCAACCCTTGTGGATCATAGTGTACCAGTACTGTCCATGGAGTTTTCTTGGTAAAGATATTTTTTCCTTCTCCAGTGGATTAAGGCAAACAGAGGTTAAGTGACTTGCCCAGGGTCACACTGCTAGTGAGTGTTGGAGGCTGTATTTGAATTCAGGTCTTCCTGAGCCCAGTCCCAGCACTATGTATACTGAGCCACCTAGTTGCCTATTCTCATGGCTACATGGGAATATAAGGAATTTTATCCACCTCTGTATAGTCAGAACCATAAAAGAGAGCCTATCTTCAGGAACAGATGAAGGTCTGAGCTGATAAAAAAAAACTAAAGGAAAAAGTTTTTTTCGGGGAGGCAATTGGGGTTAAGTGACTTGCCCAGGGTCAACACAGCTAGTAAGTATCAAGTGTCTGAGGCCATGTTTGAACTCAGGTCCTCCTGACTCCAAGGCTGGAGCTATATCCATTGCACCATCTAGCTGCCCCAGGAAAAAGTTCATGTAGAAGTTCCACCTGCTTTAGGTGCAAGATGTTTAGAGAGATAACATATGAGTTCCAACTTTAAAAAAGGTTAGTCTTTTCTATATTGGTTTTGCATTCTGTAGAGACTTCTAAATGAAAGGAAATACTTCATAAGTGTTCCTAGGTTAAAAAACATTAAGGAGTGGGGGTCTCTTAGGTTTCTAAAACATTGTTTGAGGGGTGTGTGAGATGAAAAAGTTTTTCTACTTTTTGAAAATTAATTTTTAGTTGAGGACATGGAATTTTAAAAATTAAATCTTCACAAATTAGAGGAATTCTTACAGCCATAATTTTAGAAATAAAAATGAATTATTCTTTAAAGGTTCAATCTAGAGGGGAATAAGTATTTTAAAAAAAAAACAAACTTGAAATAACTTGGTGCAGAAGACAAAAGGAATTAGTAGAATATTAAAATAATAATTAAATGAGGTTGTTAAGGATTCACTTAAAAATGTGACCACATGAGTGTCCTTAGGAAACAACCCTGTTCTACTAGAGTTCAGGGGAAGGCATCTAAGGGGTGGGAAGAAGCCTAATCAAGCTATCTCCTGGGACCAGAAACTGCTTTCCCACATTCCTGTTTTTTTTAGTAACTTAAGATGTACTTATATGTGCATATTGAAGGGCAGTGAAAAGATTAAATTAATTCTCTCCAAAGAGAATAAGAACAACATAAAACCATTCATTTTGCAAATATTTACTAAGCATCTATGTTATATCAACCCTGGGAGGAAAAAAGTTGTATGAAATTCTGTTTTTTATTCTCTGTAGTACTGTTTTTTTTTATTCTATAAGAGTTAATTGTCTATTTAGTGAGATAGTCATAGACAACTATAATACAAGGTAATATATCAGTGCCTCATAAGTGGTACAATGTGAAATGAAAATTTAGATGTTGAAAAGATCACTAAGTTAGGATGGTCAGGGAACAGCTCACAGAGAGAAGATGTAAGGTTTCATGTGCACATGGTCTTTTTCTGATTATAGCCTGAAACTACAATGTTGGTCTTAGGCGCTTGTACTTTAGAAAATCAAGGCAAAATTTTTGTAATACTTCTCTGTGTTGTCATTGTAGGACCTTGAGTCCATAGGTATTAAAAGTAAGCAAATTGGAGCTAGTGGTAAAAGTGCAAAATTCTTATATCCTAGAGTCTCCGTTAGGTTTTAATTTTGTTAAGAATGAATGAGATAGATGACCACCTTTTTTTTTTTCTTTTTTTGGTGGGGGAGGGGGTGGGGGGCTAGGTAATGGGGTTAAGTGATTTGCCCAGGGTCACACAGCTAGTAAGTGTTATGTGTCTGAGGCCAGATTTGAACTCAGGTCCTCAGGCCTGAATCCAGGGCCAGTGCTATATCCACTACACCACCTAGCTCCCCCTAGATGACCACTTTTGGTGGAAGATTGTATACCTTTTCCTTCTTTCTTTTCCTAAGAGATTCTTTCTACTAATATTTAATAAGATGTTACCATGTGCAAACCCACTATTAGGTGTTAGGAATACAAATCTAGATGTGATACAGGGCCTGCTCTTAGAAAGCTTATCTAAGGGCAGAAAATTAATATTCATCTGTTGGAACTAGATACCAGCATATTTGAAGTCCTATTCACAGGGCTCTTGAGATAGGTAAATGAGCATGGATTGTAAAAAAGGGCTATAAAAGGTCATATCATCATCATTGTTATTTTCATAAAAACGCTGCTGCTACGATTGCAGGTCCTTTTGGAATAAATCATGGAATTGAGCTTCACTCAGATGTGGTGGAATATGCCAAGGAAAAACTCGAGAGCTTCATCAAAAATAGTGATAGCTTTGATAAGTAAGTATTGAAATCTGCAGTATTTATTTGGAGGCCACAAAACTTGCAAATTACTTCTTTATAGTGATTTATCTATTAAAAACAATATTGGTACTGCTCCATACTTAGAAGTTTTAACTGTTATTGAAGCTTTTTCTGAGGTGCTTTGAAAATAAGCTCAAATACATTGTACAGTGAGAGAATATGATGCTTTTGACTTGGTAAAACCAATTTCTCAGTTGTGAAAACTTGTTAGTGTGGTAAATATACCATATTTAAATAAAAATATATTTAAAACTCAAGTTTCCATTTCACATAAATAATACTCCCATCAAAACAATAAGGTATCTTGTGTCATGTTCATTACTAAGGCTCACACCGTTATCTTAAGTGGCTTTGTGACTGGAATTCAAGTCAGAAGCCCAGGATTCTATCCTAATCATGTGACTTACTTGATAACTTGCATTTTTTTTTTCCATTTATAAAACTAGGCTATTACTACTTATGCTTTAGCTGCTTACTTTTGGAGAATAGGTGATATAATATGTTTAAATGTTTCCAAAAAATTGTTGATGTAGAAATCATGTGTGTTCCTTCTTCCCCATTCCCATCATCATAAGCATTATTATAGATCCTCAACTTATGAGCAAGTTATTAAAAAATTCTTTAGTTTGTTATTTATTGGGAACACAACATTTTCCCATGGAAAGTGTTATACAATATTGTTTAACCATCATAGATGTGAAATACAGTGCAAATAATACTTTAGAATCTAATTACCATCTATAATAATTTTGTGATAAATGCATTCAGAATTCAGTTCTGGCCCAGTTACAGAGGTGGCCTTCCATCAAACAGGAGCTAGACCTAAGGGTGAAGAATGATGAAAAAAGTAAAAGGTTCTAGGGATAGGTAGTAACGAGGGATGAAAGATAGATTTGATCTCCACCACTCTTTCCTTTTTTTTTTGTTTTCCTGAGACTAGATAAGGCAGCATCCCTAGTGGTACCACAGTGTAGACAGTATGAGATTTAACATTTATCCTACTTCGCCTTTTACATTGCTGACTAGAATTGACTTACTGTGTTGGGACAAAGGGAGTGACGGAGGGAATAAAAGAATGTATATAAGAGAGAGCTTTTCTTCCCTTTCATCCCTTCCTCCTGTCCTCTTCTGTTCAGGGAGTGGCAGTTTTTAGTACCAAAGGGAGGGAAATCTCCAAGAATGAAAGGGGCATTCTTTCAGCTACTGAGCTGGGATGGCTGTTTGCATATCAGTTTAGGAATGCCAGATCTGCTGTTTTCAAATTCCATGAATTCTGAGCCCCAATTTTCTAAACTTCTTCTAGTGACATTTATGTATCTGCCTCTGGTAGGTGTGATTAACTAAATGTATGAAAATAATACCTCAATATTTTCTATTTGTCATTTTTTAAAAAAGCAGTTTCTATAAAAATAAAATACAAAAATGATAGCTTTGTTTTCAATCAGGGTAGTACATACTGTTTTATACATTCCAATGACTATAAGATGTATAAGGTCTTTTTAAAAATTACATCGTATGGGATAATTTTCCCAATTGTAAGAGGGCTTCATAATCTACCTTAATGCAAAGTAGAACAGGAGTTGGGATGTAACTTGAACAGTACAGCATCCTCCTATACAAGTTTTTATGGAACTCAGACTTCATTCTGTCAAGTGGCAGTAACCCTGTCTTTCTTGATCACCAAAGTAAAAAAAGGCATAATAATGCATAAAATAGACATCAGGTTATTTTTTTGCTTTTTAAAAAATGTTGCGTGTCCCATTTGATTTTTCAAACTTTGAATTAGCAATGCATGTTTGGCTCAAAATGAAAATTGTCAGCTTTCCTCTACTTTGAGTTTTATGTGTTTTTATAAGTTAGTTGAAATGTAGTAAATACAAAATACATTTGGTTATGAGATTTAAAAATTTCTTGGAATTTTTGTTTATGAATATTTTGCCCTAAAAGATTTTTGTTTTTAATTGGGTAAACATTAGACTGTAGGATAATTCTTAAGTATTATAACTTATTTTGAAACAATTCAGTCTTACCCTTGAATAAACTATGGAAGAGTTAAGTTCAATGTTTTGAAATTTGTTAACTTTTAGAATTCAGAATGTTATCCTAAAATATAAATTATAATGTTCTTAAAGCTTAACAAAAATAATCACCTTCTATAAGGTGACTGGCTTTTTTAACCAGTTAGTAGGTATAGGAGTATGTTCCCTTTTTTTTTGTTAATAACAACAGTAACAACAACAGTAGTTGGGATTGATTCTATTTAACGGTAGATGAATAATTATATTGAGATGTTTTCAAGAATATTTTGGGATGGAATAGGTTCATAATCCATAAAATAGAGATAATGTTAGAGATAATACTTGCATGAACTACCTCACAGGAATAAGCTACAGAAATATAACTTATTTCATTTTCTGGTTTTCTAATATGCTTAGGGAAGGAAAATCTTTATATCAGCGTTCTGCCCTTTTGTCTCTATGTTCCTACAAGCCAAACTGAAGCTATATATTTCAGATTAAGATTATATATTCAAAATGTTGACTCTAGTATGCATGTCTTTCTTTATTGAAGATAAAGGGATCTCAAGAATGAAAACATGCCTAATATCTGTTGGTCTGTGTTAAAGAGGAACAGGAAGAAAATGGATAGTTGAACATCAGATGAGGCTTTTTGATTGCTTTAGGCATTTAATTTGTGTATATATTTTTCCTTAATAGACTGTACGCTTCTTGAGGGTAGGGACTTTTTCATTTTTAGTTTTGTAAACCCAATGCCTGGCACATACTAGATGCTTAATACATGCTTGTTGACTGATTGAACAGAACCCCCAAATTTTAGTTTCAATAAAACTTTGCACATGAGGTAAAATAAAAACTACTGTACAAATACTGAATGCGGGAGGGGAGATATGGCTAGTCAACAATTCTTGTGGGAAAGTACCTGGGAGTTTTAGTGGACTACAAGTTCAGTCTGAGTCAGTAGAGCAGCTTGACGGCCAGAAGATCTAGCAATGTTTTAGACTACTCTATAGTGTTTGGAAAGTCTAGATAGATAATAGGGTTCTTAGTGGGGTCTATGAACTTGGTTTAATTCATACATGTATACAATACATATATGTGTGCGTATATATGTGTGTAATATTTATTATTCATTTTCTTTTTAATTCTATGTATTTTATGGATTTAAAAGTATTTTGAGGAAGGGCTCTGTAGGTTTCACCAGACTGCCAAGAGTTAGTGTATAAAAGTCCATTATAGTCTATACTGAAGGAGGCAGTGATAATCCCAGATAATTCTGTCCTGGCCAGATCACATCTGGGTCCAATTTTGGGTACCAAATTTTAAGAAGAATATGGATAATAAGTACTAGAGCCAACCAGGATGGCACAACCAAACTAGTAAGAGGACTAGATATGTTTAGGTTTGTTTTTGTTTGTTTGTTTTTGATGCTGTGAATTGAAACACTAGGGCTTGAAGAAGAGAATACTAAGGGGGTGGTGTAATAGCTATTCAGAAGTCTTTGAAGTTCTCTCACCTGGAAGAGGGTGTAGTCTTGTTCTGACTGGCCCCAGAGGGTAGTAGTAGGAGCAGCGGTAAAGATTTCGTCTTCTACTAGGCATTTATAATTTGAAATAAGGTACAGTATCTATGTACACCCAGTTATTTGGACATATTTTATTTTCCTAGATAGAATTTGTGTTACTGTTAGGGTAAAATACGAAATCCTCTGTCTGGCATTTAAAACCTACCATACACATCATTCCTACTTTTCTAGTCTTAATTCATACTATTTTCCATTTACTCTTTTCAGTTAGTTTGACCTGCCCTCTATTATCCTCAATGCATTCTGCCTCCTGCCACTATCTTTGCCTTTTAACAGTTAGATGGTCCTGTGTTTCTGGGATGTACTTAGTCTTCCTGAGCCTCAGAATCCCTAACTTCAAAGCACGTTTCAGGTGTTGTTTCCTATAATGTGTTTTTCTTGATCCGTACTAGTGTATTATAATGCTCTGTCCTTAAAATTGATCCTTTGTAAGACTTTGTTTTTAGTCATGTGTACATGCAGTATCCTTGCAGTGGACTATAAGCTCCTTAGAGCAAGGCTTGTTTAGTTTATCTTTGCAGCCCTATCTAGCACAGTGCTTTATATGTAGTAGTCTTCGTAAATTTCATAAATGAGTTGAGCTCATTTGACTAGGTAGTAATTTGAGGGCATGGACTATGTCAGTATATACTTGTATCTCAGAGTTTGTTGTTTATAGCAGACTCTTAATGAGTTGACTGATTAATAATACATGTTTTAAAATGTCACTAAAAAAGAAAAACAGCTGCTCATGGGAAAAACTCATCCTTAAGATTCAGAAAATTTATTATTGTATAAAACTTTAGAGTTTTTTTCAAGCAAGAGTTGAAATGATTTAACAATTATCTGGTAAAAGCCTAGAAATGAGGAAACCTGAGTTTAGTCTAGGTTCTACCGCTAAGATCTCTTTTCTATCCTCAAAGTTCAACAATTGTTACAACTAAAATACAGTTTGTACTACTTTGTATGGACTTCCACTTCTGGCTCTATATCTAAGATCCTGTGAATTTCAGGGAAAAAAATAACTTATAGGTAGGGGAAAGAGGAGAGTAGATATGGATGGAAACCAAGATGTATTAGCTTCAATTTCATTTCATCTTTCCCTTATAGTCCACATTTGTTCAGAAATATGCAAAGGTTTTTTTTTTTCTCTCCAAATGAGTTTAATGAAAAACTGGATTTATCATTTACTTTTTGGGTTGATGACCTCATCTTGTCTCATTGAGATTTCTTTGTATTTTTTCTGATGTATGATTTCATGATTCCTCATGTAAATCACAACTGAACTCTATAAATTGTCTCAAAAAATTACCTTGACCATTGACAGGTTAATCAACTTGCCTGTGTTCACACAACTAGGTAATTGAGGACAGAGATCTTCCTTGGCTCCAAGG